TGCCCGAATAAATGATGACGATTTTGTGAAATGACGTCTGTATAAAAGGGATTAACGGGATAGAGGATCCTCCTGCCTGGGCCTCTTTGTGCTCCAAAGAATCCCGTTGGTGCACCATTAATCAATACAAAGAATTTCACTCATGATATACATAATTTTATCCACAGGATCCATGCTACTATACTAAACCGGCTGAAAGAGCGTAGTTTTGACCTAAATTCCTTACATGACAGGCTCCTCTCCTTCGCGGGATAGGGCACATTCCATTCCGCCATAATCACACTTTAAAACTCGATCCAGCTCTCAAACTATATGATCCTCGTCACCAGTCAGCTAATACTGATAGTTGTCCTCCTACGGACCTTTGCCTTCCCTCCGTTTCCACAATAAGAAGAAAAAACTTAATTTTTCCTGAATATGAATTACGACAAGGAAAATAAAATAAGCCCAACTAATACCATCTTCGCCAAAACTCCAAGCTACATCTCCCCTTATTTCTTGTTTTGCTTTATTAAATTAAATTAACCTAGAGGGGTGAATGGGGGTTTCAGGTGTTTTTGCACAAAAGTCCTTTATGTTGATGATTCGTTGCTGATGACTGATTTTTTTCCCTCCCATATTCTTTGTTGCCATAATTTATAATTGGATACACCTTTAAATTATGTTACGTCGTCGAAGGCTTGACCTGGGGAGAAAATACATTAAATCTTTTTTTATATAAAATCCATTCTCTGTAATAATATATTAATAGTCAATTTTTTGGTCACTAATTTTTTTATGTTATATTATATTTTATATTCCCAATAATAACAATTTTCTATTTTAATAAAAATATAAATCAAACCACGTATGAAGAAATTTAACTGTATATGAAGCAAATTATTATTCAACATAAGAGAAAATAGGAGACTTTTTGGATAATTGAATCAATGACATGAAGCTAAGTAACATCAAGGGAATTTTTCCAACTAATTAAAATTTTGTAGGACAAAGGGAACATAATGATTAATGCACTAATAATAGCAAAATAGACATGTAGTTTTGTTTTAAGGAAGCTCTTATATTGTACTGCCGACACTGTAAGAAACATACATTTATTTTTTGAGTTTCATTTTATTGTCATATAAATTGATCGAACATAAAATTATTATTTTTAAAAAAAAAATGATAAAATTATGATTTTAAATATATATATCAATATTTATATTGCTTCAAACTTATGACATTAAGGATAATTGAGTTAGGCCTGCATAAAAAACCAAGTTTATAATGTCCCAAGTTCGTTTTAAAAAAAAAAGAAAAATGTCTTTTTTTCCTTTAAAAAGGGGTATCAAGTATTAATAGGGACTTTTTATTACTTCATAAATAGAATACATAATCTTACTCAACTACACAAATAATTAAAAATAAAATTAAGTATGTCGCTTACTACCGCGACTTCGTTTTTTTAAGAAAAAAATTGAAAGATAAGAATATTTTTTTTTGATGGAAAAAAATAATAAAATCAGCCAAACACTATTAACGGTGTTAAAATTGAGAAAGGATATCGCTGCCCTAGCATCGAATTGTCCGATTTGGTATTAAAAAAATTTCAATGGCCCTTTATGCATTTTGAAAGAAAAAAGTGGTCCTTTTGGCTCCGAACTCAAATTTTTCGCATACATATATACTGCAAATAAGGAAAATAAAATAGAAAACTAAATTGGTATCAATCTATATATCAAAAGGTTTTAGATTCGAGTCTCCTTGAATACGGAGGGAGAGTTTTACTTTTTGACGCAAATTTAGATTTAGTCGGGCTCCAATGTGGATACGGAACCAAAAAAAATATTTAGTTAAAAAATAGATGAAATCCATTAAATAACAATAGAAATATTTGATAATTTAATTCTACAAATTAAAGTAACTAAAATAAATGTAGCACTAGAATAATTTCTTATTCTCATATGTATGCGAGAATATGTATGCGTGTGGATATTCAAGATCAGGTGTATCAAAGTAATCCAATTCTTCATCAATCAAGACTTTAAACGGTTCATCCAATGATGGTAGTTGCCAAATTTTTGCAGCATACAACCATCCATCATGATCTCTCGACGAATTTGAGACACAATCAGGAACTATATTCTAGATTGTTATAGGAATATCTTAATGATTTTTACATAAACTGACTTTTTTTGTAATGAAACACACAATAGAGTCTTCATGTCTGATTTCTCTGCGTTCTCTTAATACATCCATTGTAGTTTTATCAAGACAGTATTCTTTCACAATCCAGTATACACTTTCTTTTATCTTCACAGCTACTTTCTTCATCAGAACGAAAAGTTTTCTTATACCCAATTCATGATCTTTCCTTGTCCAAAATTTCTTTATTATTGTCTCGTCCTTTCCATTTGTGACCTCCAACAATTGATTTGTTGAAGTTTTTACCCTTGATGATTTTTCTCTTCAATTGAGTAAAGAAATAGTTTATATGATCATTACCTAAATTTTGGAATAATTCTGCTGGCTCTTTTTTACCGTATAAGTCTATATACGGAATATTATTGTATTCAATAGGCATTCCACGAATGAATTCGTTAAACACCTTATCAGATCTTCATCCCCATAAGTTATAAATAATGTGAATTATATTCCAACTAAAAAGATACAAAAAGAGAGAAGAAGATGGAGAAATATTTTAAAGCAAGAAAATATATATAGAGTATATTTCCTAATTTGTGTAGGAAACTAATTGTAGTTGTAAATATAAATTTGAAAAAGTGAACCTTATTAATTGGAGTTGTAATTTATTTTGGAAAACTTAACCCTTGTTCGAATAGGAAACTAATTGGAGTTATAATTTTATTTTTGGAAAACTCAACCTTATTCGAATAGGAAACATTAAATTTCTTGACCGATGATTGTGGGGTTGTGAAAGATGACGATTTGTGGGAAACAGAGAAGCAGCATCATCAATGTATTGAGCATGTGTGAGAAATAGAGCAGGATCCGAATGAGCAACAAAACCAGAATTGATAACAACAAACAGAGAAACAAAAGTAAAATTTTGCTTCTTTATAGGTTGCTAAACAAACACATATCATATATTATATATATAGAGAGAGGAGATAAATGGTTGAGGGCTAAGCGCATCCAATAACGGTAATATAAATTGACACGCTTAACAGAATGTTTCCTTAACTAATAAATTGACACGGTTACCATAATATTTCGTTAAATAATAAATTGACACGGTTACCATATTATATTGTATATAGGGTAGATTATATGGAAATTGTGAATTCCCTGAACAACGTACAAAAGGTTAGTTCGGTGATTCAAGATATTTGAAATCCACCCTAACGTCCAAGGGTTTGATTCTACTGGATTACATTATTATGTTTTATGTTTTTATTTTTCAAACACCCTGAGTGAAAATCTTGAATCCGTCATTGTTTTTTGGGTTTAAAAACTCAATAATTCTCGTGCATTCAAATGATTATAGTCCCTATATTAAGTACAATCTTTTGTGTTGTGGTAGAGATGAGTATTCATTTTCTGAGGTTTTATTTACCCCTTCTTTTTTTGATTATTTTTCCACTATAACAGATATTTGCAGTAATTCTACCATGCACGATATTTCTCATTTACTATCACTACAGGAGGGATGTATATGATTTGCATCATGCCATATTGGGTGAGTTTTATTTGAAGTTTATTTAGGAAAAAACTATTTTTTCAATTTTTGGATTTTCATTGTAGTTAATACTATGAAATTGATGGCATTTTGCTTGTAAATCTAGGCATCCTGTATTCTGTTCTAGTGACTGCAGTAATCACCGATAGCATCAAAGATGCTGTTGGTCGTCCACTCCCAAATTTTTTCTATAGGTGTGTCTCCATCTTACACTTTCACATAACATTATGGCTTGAACTTAGGATATTCTTTCATGTAGTCCAAAATATGATCCAACTCAAAAGGCCTGTGATTCAACCTATAAGTGGATACTATGTGATAGAGGTCTGTGCTAGGCGCAAAAATTCAACTTTTACTGTTTATGGCAATGGGGGTAATTAGAAAAGACACGGCCTAAGAGTTCGAGAGTTCATGAGATTGTATTGGCTTGCTTTCATCATAGTTATTTTATTTTCTCTTTGTGTTGTCTCAGAACATATAAAAAGTGTTCATTTTTCTTCTTTTATACCGTGTGTGTGTTATTTTGAGTATGCCATAACATAACATTTAACTCGAAAAGTTTGACATCAACTCTTAAACAAATTTTGCATTAAGATACCTTTTTCAATTCATATGCAGGCCTTTCAACCTAATGGGGATGCTAATTGTCATGGAGACCCTAAAGTTGTGAAAGAAGGATATAAAATCTTTCCCAGTGGACATACCTCATGTTAGTAGTGTTCATTTATTCTTAGTTTCTTTGTTTTTGTTTGTTTTCTTCTTGTTTATAAGTTTACGCTTGTCAAAATATAGGGTCATTGGCTAGCCTTGCTTTCCTCTCATGGTACTTGTGTGGAAAAGTGAAGGCTCACTACAAGAAAGAAGACATTTCCCTACAACTTTTTTTGTTGCCATATATTGGATATTGTTGCTAAAAGTACTTTCGGCAACAATAAAAAAGTTGTTGCATGTTGTTGCAATAAACGCTGATGTTAAAAAATTTTGCAACAACAAAATATATTGTTGCCAAAAACTAACTTAACGCAACCAAAAAAATTGTTGCTTTATACGGCTTATAAAAAAATTCGCAACAAAATCTAATGTTGCCATAAATTATTATTTTTTACCAACAATATTAGTTGTTGCAAAAACTTGGCAAAACTTAGTTAGCAATCTATTAGAAAAGCTTTCAAGCAACATCATCTTTTATTGCAATAAATCAAATATTTTTTCATACATCTTTAGCAACAATTTATAATAATTGCTACATAGACAATACACATTTCTTTTTTAAAAATACATAAATATTTGAATTAAAACTATATAAATATGCAAAGGTCAATACATAAGATCAATGCACTAAATACTTACTACATATGTCTTTACTTGTAAAAAAAAATATAAGCAAGGTCGTTATATTCTAATCCTTCTAGTAAATTTTAAAAAATCTTCTTCCAATAATACTTGTGTTGCAACAGAGTTGACTTATACATGTTCATCCTGCATATAAAAGATAAACTTAATTATATTTTGATCAAGTAAATTATAATATTCACAAATATGAATTTAAAAAGTAAAAAGAATCACATAATAATACACTCTACGAAATACTTTAGCATATTTGTAACCATTCTATTCTCATAGCTTTTAACACAAAACTAGAGAACCTTATAAGCATAACTCAGAGAGTTAGCCCCATTAAATATGCACATCCCCAAACTATTGGGTGTCGCGACAAGTAAAATAAGAAATCACCCGACAAATTCATGACTGATCCGACCAAAAAGAATCCATCATTAACACTCAAAGACCGCCATATTTAGAGGTAGTACACAAAAAAAAGTCCAACAACAAAGTCAATAAAATATAAATTTAACACTTAACATGGATTTACATGTATGAGGAAGCAATCTGAATCCAATCTCCAAAAGGAACTACGATATAAAATCCGAAAATAAATAAAAGTGACACTAGTAAATTAAGCACTAATGAAACTTAAGATATAAAATTTAAATCATCATCATCTTTCCATGATTTTTTCAATAGAAATTCCCTCAACTTTGAACCCTTAAATTAGTATTCATGTTGAGAACTGTATCAAGAATTTAAGCATGTTAACATAATGCAACTTAGAAACTTAAAATATAACTAATGACTATTATATGACATCCAAAAAATTAATACACTAAATATGGTTCATCTTACCTTCAATAAGTTGCAAGAAAGAACCACGTTGGAAGGTAGCACAAGTTTATTCTATCCAAATAGTATTCAGAAAGATATGTCATGTATTAAGAATCGAAGGTCCCATATTGTGCCTGAAGTTCAATCACATCCCTCTCCTCAGCTCATGAAAACTTCAGTCCCTTTTTCAAGGCCTTTAACTTCACTTTTCTATGTGGGATAACATTGCAGTGTACACAATTTATCTTACTTCTACTTGTATTAACTCAAAACACCCTCATCTCTAGCATACTTCTCTATACTGGACAATAATAGGCCATCAAAATATTGGAGATAAACATGCACAGAAAAAGCCATCAGTTAAGGATTGCATCACGAAAATCGTACTAAATAAGCGTTTTGGATCCATCTATCCTTATAGAATCCACGTTGTTCCCCAACATATGCATGTACATCAATGAACCAAGTAACCCAATACCGTAACTGGTCAGATGAAAAACATAACATTTTATTAACACCAAACATATACATGTGCATAAAAGAACCAAGTTACCCAACATCGTAATTGGTCATAGAAACACACAATATCTTATCAACATATACTGAGTATCCTAGAAGATTTGGTCATTTCATTGTATGAGTATGACTATTTTTTGAGTAACAATATCACCTTTTGAAGAAAAAAAGAAGCAAGTGAAGAGTTACTTCACTCACAAATATTATTACCATTAGAAATCACAATTGACTAATATACTAATTAAAGGAAAACTAGCTTAATGGATAAGGAGTTACGTTAAGCTGCAACATCACTTGATCAGACCATACATTAATCGCGAAGATATTGAAAAGAACTAGAACTTCTACAAACACAATTAGTTTACCTTGCTGCAATTTTAGGAGAATAACAGATATGGGCTGAAACTATGGCAACACAACCAATCTCAATGGTGAGGAAGTGTAATTCGTCCTTCAACTGCAGAGGAAAAATCCACAAATATTTTAGAAGTGTAAACTTATACAAAGTCAACACATCTCAATAAGGAGTAGGAGTGGCAAACGAGTGGATCGAGTCGAATATAAGCCGATCCAAAATGAGTTAAACAAAAATGGATAAAATGCTCATCTCGACTCATATATTAAATGGGTAAAACTGAGTTACCAAAGGATAATATGGATAAATACGAATACTCATATTATAGTAGGGATCTTGTTAAATGTTTCAAAATTAAAATCTTTTAGACAACTTGCCAATACGATGTAAAAGGCCTTTGGATCGAATCAAACTTCAGTCACTTGGCCCATACTTCTTCACCTTCTTTCAACAGTTCATCTTCTTCCACTTTCCATGGCCTTTTGTTATCAATTGGACAACTAGCAACGATGATCTTGTTCCTTCAATTTACCAATGACCACTTACAATTCTCCTTCTTGTGTTCGATCTTTTTGCTGCAGATTTAAGGTTCAATTTTTTCGAATACCACTAAATACATACAATTAAATATTGACTTCATTTTTAGTAATCCAAATACTAGTATCAGATGTAAGAATAATATCTTTCTTTTATTTCACATGAGTTATTCTAAATACTAAGTATTTCAGAATGTTTTTCGCAGTTGCTCAAACCGAAGACCTCTAACTGGAACTTTCTTTTCAAGCAGTAACCAACAACTAAAGATTTTAGCATCCCTTTTGATAATTATGTTCATAGTTTTCAGTAAAGTCTCCCGATAACTATAGGTTATGTGGATATTCATCATCTTTAGAGATTGCTGAACCGGTTTGCTTATATTTCTTAGTTGAACTCCATCTAAACACCTAAATAATATATTACTCTAAATGCAGAGCAGTCTCATCCAATGCACATATTATTGTCTTGTTATTTTCTAATACCTAATTCTTAATAACAATTTTTGGATTCCACAAAATAATTATAAACTATAGAAGTTTTAAACTCACTGCTGCACTTGATAGACACAGTATCATATTGATGGTAATCATGGTTCTCATTCTAGGTGTTACTAATTCAATTAGACACAAACAATTTCAAATTTTCTTGATTTGCTTTGCTACCTGTCTTCTCACCCAGTTGAATACATGAATAAACACGAATACATCTTGAATGAGAAACAAATACAAAATCAGAGACAAGATGGTTGATTTCGTACTTACCTCAGTAGGAATATGAGTGGAAAGGCTAATGTTGCAGGTTGCACGACTGCAGCATAACTGAGACTTTGAAAGTACCTAATAAGACCTACAACTATATACGAACAATTGAAACTATGGAGGAAAAGCTTACAATTTGAAACCCTAATTCTGATTTGATGAAGGCTATTCAGACATAATTCGAAGCTTCGCCGGTGACCGGAACACTGAATCTAATGGGAAAATTAACGGTCAAATTTCAATTAAAAAAAAAAACTAAAAGTCGTGTGAAAAATAAGTGGGAGAAAGATTTGGGGTAAAACCGCAAAAGGAATAATTGAGGGAAATTTTACCGCGATAATTTTTGCTCAAATTTGAGAAACACTAAAAGTTTTTACCAACAACAGAAATATTTTTGATAATGATAAAAAATTGTTGTTGTTAATGTGTAACTATTTAAATTTGTTATATTAATAACTCAAAATATATAGCAACAAGTTTAAAAGATTAAGTAACAAGAAAAAACTTTATGTTAAAATTTTGATATATGCCAACAAAAAAAAAATAAAATTAAGTTGTTGCCATTTATTAAATTTAGCCAACAACTTTATAGTTGTTGCTAGAAAGTTGTTGCCAATTCTATGTTTTCTCGTAGCGCTTTTGACAGAAGAGGCCATGCTGCAAAACTCTGTATTGTTCTGCTTCCTTTACTCTTTGCTGCATTAGTCGGAATTTCTCGGATTGATGACTATTGGCATCACTGGACAGATGTATTCACTGGATCCATTATAGGTTGGTTCAACGTTCCTATCCAACACTTGTATGGATTCACTACTTTGATAAGTTTGCAAATTGATTTTAGCTTGTTTACCTGATAATATAAAAGTATACTATTAGTATCATGTAGCAGGTTAACCACTATAGACATTGCATGTAGTTGGCCTTCAAATGAACTAATAGTGTAAAAAAACATTACACTATCAATGTTCGCGCCTTATAATTATCAAATTCTGACTATGCTATTCTGAGAAATAGTGTAGCTAAACATCTCAGTGTTTTTTTCGTACAGGAAGCGTGGTTGCCTCTTTATGCTACCTGCTTTTCTTTCCATTCCCTCATGATATCAACGGTACAGCCTCAACTCTCTGAAAACAGAATGAATCTCTTAGTTCAATGTCAACGTTACTAGTTATTTTCTAAATATTGTTCATTTTTCCATGATAACAGGGTGGGCACCTCATGCATCTATCAAAATGAGAGAAAATATTGAATTGCACTCTACATCAATAGGAATTGACACTGTGTAATGCAACGAGAGTACAAGAGGCAACCCTCATTATCCAGGCATGAACAGTAATGCAAGATGTTGATGGCAATGGAAGGAGATACTGAATTCAGATCTCCATAGCCTCGTCGAAAGAGGAAATACATTATCTAAACATGTGTACTCTTCTTTTAGTTTAGTCTAGCTTATGTTGGCTTAGTCTGAAGTCATATCTATATATCAAAAGAGTTGTACAATATGGAGGTAACAATGTTCATTACCTCCTCATTTTCTATGGGGACAAAGAAAAGGCTCACACTCTTACAAAACATAGTCTTGTTGTATATTTTTATCTACATCTAAATAAGATGAAAGAGATTACTCCTACTGTTGGGTTCCAAAGAATTAGGGCATCATATTGAAGCTTACTGTAACACCTCACAATTTTTTTGAGCTAAGACTCGAACCATTCTTCGTTGTAAGTAGGATTTTACCGAGGAATTTAAAATTTATTGAGTGTTAAGGTCACTAGATGTAGCACCTTAAGTTTCAAGAAGAACTAAAGAGAGTTCATTCAAGTCCTTCCTAAGTTCTTCTAAGATTTGGGTCAAATTAAAACGACCAGAACTCTCAGTACAGGATGAGTAAGGTGTTCCATGAGATGGAAAATGAAAGGTCTTTGAATTATCTTTCCAACGCCACCGAGTTTGCTAAGTTTCGAGGTCGGATGAGTGAGATATACCCTTTTGAAGTCAGGATGTCCAGTTAAGGAAAGTTACCCGAAAAGAGTAAGGGGTATTTTGGTCTTTTCCTTACCCAATCAGATTCAATTCTCAAGAAGAGAAAAGAAGGGAAAAGAGGAGAGGATCAAAGGGTTTGTCGAGGTTCTTGAGTTTTGTTGCGGATTTTCGCCATGGGTTTAATCCCTAAGAGGTATGTAATCTTCCATAGTGTTGGGTTTGTTCACCCACACGCCAATCATGTTATTTTCAGCGCAATTTCATTCTTGAAGTTTAAAGATTAGAGTTCTTGATGAGTTCTTGCAAAGTGTTCTTGAAATTCATCCTAAATCTTGTTGTGTTGGGGTTTTAATGATTTCTTGAGATGAAAGTGAGTGTTTTGAGGGCTTTATTGAGTAGATTAGAGTGTACCTATGTTAAGTAATCAAATCCAAGTGATTGGGGAAAAAACCATTCGATTCTAGGATAGTTAGGGTGAGAAAACCAGCAAAGAAATTCGTCGGGTTTTCTGGGTTGGGGCCTGGCGCGTCGCACCAGCCAGTGCCCCCGAAATTATGTTCTGTATTTTAGGGGATGGCGCCTCGCGCCACTCAGTGTGCCAAGGTCGCCTGCCCAGTCCAGTTTGCAGTCGGTTGCTCCGTTTGAGTTCTTTTAAAGTGTACCTTCACTCCCTTTCAATTCTAACTACTCTAAGCTACTTTTAAACCCCTAGAAATCATTCATAGCATGAATCATAACCTTGAATTCATAATTCATATTTAAGGTAGATCTAAGAGTTAAGTCTTGAGAGTTCTTTTGAACATTTTGAGAAAGACCCTTTGAGTCATTTTGAGGAGTCTTCTACAATTTCTAATAACTTGTTTCAAGACTCGAGCAAGTGAGTATGGGGATGAGGAGAATGTATTCATGAGTCTACTTTAGCATCACAACATCCTTCATATCATGAACCATTACACTTGAATTCATAATTCACATTCAAGAGAGTGTTAAGAGTAGAGTTTAAAGAAAACTTTTAGATTCAATTGTGAATCCTTTGAGATCAACTATCAATTTGAACTAAGTTCTAAGAAAGTAAGTATGAGGATGGGAAGATTTGAATACATGATTTCCATGTTGTTATGTAGACCCTCGAGTTGAGTCGTTCATGCCCATGAATTCCACATGAACTCCATAAGTTGAGTATCTTTGAGAGGAGTAGTACCTTCAAGTTATAAGTCTTGAGTATTGAGTTCCTAACCTATTTGATATTATATTCCTAATCATGGGACTATTACATGTTACCCATGAAGTCCTTGAGTCGAGTAGTTCATGCACATTACTCCGCATGAACCCTATAAGTCGAGCAGTCTTGAGATGAGAAATATCATTGACTCCATGAGTAGAGTAGTCCATGCTCATAATCCCGCATGAATCCTCTGAGTCAAGCATTCTTGAAGCGAGTATTATTATTGAAGTTCTTGAGTTGTGTGTTGTTGAGGCTTGAGTATTAAATTCTAGTTACGGTTATTGAAAACCGTTAATTGAGTCGTTCACATCCATAATTCGGTATGAACTTTATTTCAAGAAGTCTTTTACAATATTTTAAAACTTGTTTTAAGACTTGAGCATTGAGTTGAGTAAGAGTAAGAGTGAAGTTCATTTTTCAAAAGATTATATGGGAACTAAGTATTTCCAAGAGTAAAATGTTTTCACATTTAAACAAGAGAGGAAACACTGATTTCCAAGATAGCTTTTAAGTTAGTTTTTGAGTAATAATCTCAAAATAACTCAAGTCTCCATAAAACCATGTAGCCAACATAGGTAGAAAAGGTCTTACTTTTTAGATGATTCTTTAATGCTTTTTAGCATAGACTAGTGGATCCACTTAGTTGAGGCATTCTATATCCCGACAAGTTATAGGACAGTTTCTGGCAGCATGGGCGAGACAGTGTATCATCACATAGCTCATAGTGATGGTTGTTGGTTAGACAAACTCCCATAGATTTATATTATATTTTATTATATACAAATTGAGTTGTTATTGTGTTCTTCAATACATTGAGTTGCTAGTTACTGTTTTAAAATCTTTCCATATATTGCATCTTTATTGTTGCTTTATTCTTGAGTATCTTGAGTTGAACTGTATTTCATTGAGTTGAGTACCCTATTGTTGAGTTGAGCCCCATTTCACTGAGTTGAGAATCTTATTTCTGAGTTGAGTATCTTATCCTTGAGTACTTCTGATTTGATTGAGTTTGAGTAGTTTTGAGTATTCCTTGTGTTGAGTTGAACTATGTTTCTTTGAGTTGAGTTGAGTTGAGTAAGTTTGAGAAGAGGTAAGTATGTTTCTTTTCCACCAGTTCAAGCTTATGTTTATGCTTTAGAATTCCCCTTACATACTCGTACATTCCATGTACTGATCCATTTGGCCTGCATTGTTTCATGATGCATATATAGGTATTCAGGATCATCAACAGGTGCTTTGTTGATATCGCATGGAGTTTGAGTTAGCTATGGTGAGCAGTGGCGTAGCCAGGAATTTAATGAAGGGTGTCCAAACTTTTAATAGTAATTTTTTTTAAAAAAACGACGATTTAAATTACCAAAACAAATAATCAAGTTAAATATAGGAATATTTTTAATAGAATTACAAGTGTATAATTCAAAACTAACATAAAGAAAATAAACTACTATTGAAAACATAATTTAAAGATATTATTACAATTATACTGGACGAGGTTTCATATCCTGAAACATTTTTATAATAGACTCATTAGAAATAGTACGAAATACTTTCTTTCTACATAAGGCACTATACGAACCGTCTAAAAACTCATCATCCATTCGATTTTGCAAGTCATTTTTAGAGTATTTAAATCTAATGTCTTTGTTTTTTAGAAGAATGTGACAACATCTCTAATTGATCTACCGTTGTTTCTTTATTTGGTTGACTTAGAGAAGTCAAACTTTTTTTGGTACTCTATTATAATAATTTCTCATGTGTATTGAAACTTGAAACTAAAATATTAAGTTGGTTATTTTTGTTATAAAATAAGAGAACGAGAAGAAAAAACAGAGAGAGAATTATTGAGATTCTATTCTTAATAATATTGTGATATAATTTGGGTAAATAAGTTTCCTATTTATAGAGAAAGAAAACCTTATTCCATAAAGGGAAAAATTAATTAAAATTTAAGGAAATCTTATTCCATAAGGAAAAGGTATTAAAATTTAAGGAAATGATTCAATTTTAATTGAAAAAAATCCACAAGAAAAAGTATTAAATTCAAGGAAATCTTATTCTACAAGGAAAATGTATTAAAATTTAAGGAAATAATTTAATTTTAATTGAAAAATAATAGTTAGTAAAGGAGGGATTCAAACTTGGGTCTTAGAGACCTTCATGATACTATTATCCACCAAGCTATTGAACTTTTATGTTAAAATTACGCATGTTTATTTACTTAATTGAATTCAAGAAGTCAAAATAATTACAGAAAAAGAAAACAACCCTGCGGGGAATCGAACCGGGAAAAAAACTGAGGACTACACAAGCTATTTCCAATTCCACTGCGCATCACTTTGTTATTTTAGGGGGTCCAAATTCTATATATATCAATATAAAGTCAAAATTTTACGTGTATATATAGTATAATTTTTCGACGAAGGGTGTCCAACTTGGACACCCTAGAGCCTACGTGGCTCCGCCCCTGATGGTGAGCCTCCTTGCTTCCGGAGGATTTCCATTTACTTTCAGTTTTGTCAGGATGTCGTAAGTTTTGTCCCGACTTCCATCTTTGTCATTTAGAGGCTTCATAGATAGACAGTAGAGTTTCAGAAGTCTGCTAATTTATTTTGTTAAATGTTTTCAAGACTTAAGTTGTCTATTTTATGGCGAGTTGAATAATTTATTTTTATTCAGAGTTTTTCATTTGAGTTTAAGCTTTGTAATTGAGTTTCATGAGTTTTTATTCAGTTTTTAGCTTTGTATGCTTGAGTTAGTCTTCTGCTTGTAGTCATACAGGATGAGGGTTCGCTTGGGGACCAGCAATAGTTCTCGAGTGCCGGCCACGTCCAGGGTGTAGACTCGGGTCGTCATACTTACGATTGCAAATAATGTTTGGAATAAATTAAATGAAAAAAACTTATACTAAAAATATAATACTATTATATAATTTGGTCAATTGGTCTCTATATATGAAAAAGTAATATAAAGAAAATATTGAAACTGTTCAGAGAAAATTTTCCCCTAAACAAAACTCTTAAATGACTACAATCTGGATGTTATTGTGTTCTTTTTGTATGAGAAGAGGGGTGTTTACAA